GCAACGAATTGTAATGTTCCTAGTGTGGCAAAGGGATACAGATTATTGCAGAACTTTTAAATGCACCAGGCAGATTATTAGATGTGCTGGAACTTGATTTGGAGATTAAAAACAATAAATGGAAATATTTTCCAATGACAACTATAAAAAATTCCCCATTACCAACTACTTTCATGGTTTTTTTTTTGAAAACAAACCATTCAACTTACGCACACACACTCACCAAACTCCTTGGCACAGGACTGGTGGCCAAGACCACATGTCTGAGGTCAAAAATCGCAGCAAAGAGCACTGCTTGTTTCATTATATGTTATTTTCCTATTAGTTTCCCACACAGAATTTGTTGTTCCAGTGCTATACGTGCAGTCGGACCTGCAGAAAGTAGTTCGGAGTATGCCCTGCACGTATCACTGCTAGAGACTTTTCTCCTTCATCATTATTCACCTCACATTATGTGATACTGTTTTTAATTCTAATTTCTTACAGACCACTAAAATATCAAAACCATGACATAGCTCCAAAGACCTATTCATACTTGGGTGTCTTCAGGAAGAGATACACTGAAGAATGACTATCATGGTATGGCAGGGAAGGTAGATGTACCAAAATTGCCATCAACCACAATCACAGTGGGTTTTGATGCTGAAAAAACTTTTGAGACCAAAGGGACAATCAGATCAATCTCTCTTTACATTGGATATATGTGCGCTAATTATTCTTAATTCTTGGTTCACGTAGCACACGACTTTGAAGACATCGGATGCTCTCCGTCTATATAGGACCAGTGAGGTTCATCCATACAGGGTGAAATAAACCCCAAAAATGACGCACACAGAAGATTATTGTGCTCAATATAGAGAATATGGGCTGAAAAGCTTCAACGAAGTGATACATAGGATGTTAAAAGCAGAAGATGTAGTCATATTTTTCAACTATGTAACACTGCTCTCTGGGAAGGGAAAGAAATGGTAATTCCTAGCAACTGAGCTTGGCATTACGGACACTCTAATAGACAGGATCTGTCCATTCCAAGTTTTTAAATTTCTGGTAGTGCCAAAGAGGCCTAGGTCAGGGCTTCCTTGTGCTTAGTGTTGAAAAACATGAAGCATCTTCGACCCAAGTAAATTTCAAACATCTCAGGATAAAGCACAAAAATAGGTTATGAAGAAAAATGACATTATGTGAATCTGTAAAGCTTTTTTCGACCCTCTCAACATATGACTCTTATTTTTAAAAACAACACAAAACAAAAAAAGCAACTCTGCGATCCAATAAGATATTCATAACTCAGGCACTCAACAAAAAGTACAAGAGGTTGATCTCTCTTTGCACAGTATGGATGTAAAATGTTGGGAGCCACAGCTCTGTGAACTGATAAAAACCAAAAGTGTTACTTGTGTCAGTTATGCTATAAAATAGGTTATGGTCTCATCTATAGGATGACAGAGTGGTAACACCACAGTTGTAATTAGCATTGACTGACAACGCTGGCCCAAGCTCAAGAGATGTAAAAAATAAATGAGCATAACATATCAACTCCCTGCCATCCGCATTCATAGTTCTACCAGGAATATTAGTAGGATGCTGTGGGGAAATTGAAGCTACACCTAATCTGAGAGCGAAAGCCTTTGTCCGCAAAGACGGTAGAGTTCTTCAGTGTCCCTGGTGCTCGTCAGCGAAAATTAACCAGGTGAGAGTAACTCTTTTTTATGTAAAAATACACAAATTCAAATATTAAAAATACTAATACATTCTTTTTGTGAACTTGATCAGACATATGAATATGTTTGCTGCACAATTACATCAAATATAAATAAGAAAATGAAATAGTCCTTTCAAACTGTTTTACATAAACACATATGTCTTTAGCAAACTTACATTTGTTAATAACTCATTAAGAATTTAAAGAGTGACAGACTTTATAAAATCTGACAGCTTTAACGAGATAGCACCCCGCACAATGAAGCGAGGCGTACAGTTAACGGCACAACCCGGCGACAAAGCAGTAGGTAAGCCCAGACCAACGGCAGCGGCGGGAGCGGGGACGGGTCCCTGCGCTGGCAGCGGCACCGGGGAGCACACAGCGCTGCCCCGGCCACGCGCCGCAGGACCCGCTGAGCACTGCCGACTCCGACACCGGCAAGGAGCATCTCAGCAGATCCCTACTCTAGTGACCCCCCCCTCACCTCTACCCAAATACCTGAAAGAAATGAGAATGAAACACGTAAGGAGCAAACAAAAATATCTACTGCTTTCCAGTCTTAAACCGAACATATAAAATTATTCTGCTACATGAAATTTTAAAATAATTACCTGTACATTCAAAGGGAATATAATGTTAAATTAATCCACATAGCTGTGAAGGGAGCTCAGTTTGTGTAGCAACTGCCCGAGACGTGCACAGACCCTGAAACAATTTTACTTTCAAAAGAAAAACGAAGTTGTTTGTATTTTCTCAGATGTTTGTCCTTTATATTTCACTGCAGGTTCAACAGTTTCTTCTAGCATATTTCTTCCCTTTTCTTGAAATATTCCAAACAACTTCTTTCCCTTTAGCTCTCTGATTTATTTACTTATACCTTCTCCTCATTCCTTCAAAACGTCTCGTTCTTCAGTGTTTCCTCATTGTTATCTTTTGCTTATTCCTTATCTATCCTTTAATTTCTACAGAAAGATAGACTAGTAGCAGGGCGTACTGCACCTAAGTACTCCCACTGCCCACCTGGAACAAACCCAATAACATGAGATAACCTTTACCTGCATCTCCTACGGAGAAATCCCTGCTTTCTAGTGACTATCTGCTATACATCTGACCTATCCATTCTACCATTTGCTACGGTCAGATTTCGAAAAGAAGCCACTCGGCTACAAACTCTACTCATGCCCTAATTATTAAATGCAATATGAATATTTAATATATTAATTGCATAAATATTTAAATGTTTGTTTTGTGGTTATAAAATTACTAATACTTTTCCCTCTCTTCCTGCTTCCTCTGCCTCCTGCTCAAATCAGCTCTAATCAAATTTAAAGTGGGAAATACTGCTCGGCTGCATATGGGAGAATATTTATACATTCTATTTCCATAATAATTTCATTTTGTTTTTCAGGTAGAAGTAGCTTTTCCTGACTTTCCACATCAAACCTTAATGCCTATTCACCACAAGATAAGAAAATGTTATTACACCATAACTAGCTCAAGCACCAACATATACTTATCCCAACAGATACAATCTGAGCATTAACAAAACAGGTTATTACCCTATTTATTAAAAATTTATGACGTGTCCACTCCTGTACCAAACATAAACCATGTAAGAAAAGAACTGCAATAAGAGGAGGACGAATATCAAAATTCAAGTTCTTGACACCTCACAAGTGTTCAAGATTTGCTTGCTTTTCTATCACTTCATCCATTACTTATTTAATTTCTTTAAGTCTAGGAAGGAAATCACATGCTGAAATTATTCCCACAACTAGCAGTTACGAGTTTGATCTTACAGGGAAGATGACTAGGTTGATGTAAAGTCCCAAATACATAAAAATTGAAACGGCTGAAATAATTATGCTAACAGATTGCATGAAGTTTGAGGATCTGCAATACTTTCTGCAAGGACAGGAAACATACTTTTTTCCTCTAAATTATGTTCTTTGCATTTGGCAAGAACATATGCCCACTGCCTCCCCCCAAATTTTTCTTATCTATTACTATGAAACTGAAACCAAAATGATTTTATTTATCAACCACAGGCAACAATGCTTCCTGGAGCACCCCGCAGTCAAGCAGTAACACTGTACGTATCACAAAAGCTGGCAGTACGGAGCAAACGCATATCAATCCTTTTAAAATGCAACCCTACAAAAAATAACAAGTGTTTTATTTTTATTTAATCGTAAATAGCATCAGCATACCGTCATTGTATGAGAGGCAGCGTATTCAGAGCGGTCACTGCACTGAGTTAGGGAGCTTAGAGTCAATTCCTACCGCAAAATCCAAGTGCTGGGGACCGTGGGCAAGTCCCATCTCTCTCCGTTTCCACTACCGCATTTTGCTCATCTGTCCTACCTTGGTCTGAAGAACTTGTCCCCTTAACTCTTTTCATAAAGGCCTTCTAATCTCAATTAAATCTCTAGACATAACTGAAGGAAGAGGAATTCTAGTATTAATATTAATTACACCTAGAGAATCAGCTGGAGCATAACAGCAGCAGGAACTACGCACACACAGCCAAAAAAAGTTTGTTTTGATGCAGCACAGGCAGTTTACATTTCAAATTTGGAGACCACAACCTCATAATATTTTCTAAGTAAAACACAAACACTACTAAAACTGAAACATTTTAAGACAAAACACAAAATATATAAACAAGGAAGAGGAAAAAGATGACAGGAATCAGAGTAGGGCCCCGAGCTGAGCGGAGCTATGGTACTATGCTTCAACTGAAGATTTTCTTTATGTTCCCTTTAACTGATACCTGTGTCCCAGTTCCACGCTTTTTTTAAGTAGCTAAGCTTCTACTAGTTACTATTTTCTATTCACTGCAAATTGCCGTTATGAATTAGTGCGTCTCCTTCATTTTTAAGCTGAGTATTACATAAGGCTCAACCGTAAGGACCTGAGTGCAGCCATACACGCCTTTGAGACAAGCGGTCCTTTCAACCACCGGGGAGTACCCACCTCCCACCACCGTCCAGCAATACTGCCTCTTCACCATCTGAAGTTTTGTTGTTTAGTTTTTCTCCTCCCAAACACACAGATGTGTAGAAACATGAAGTAGTTGCTTATACATTCATTAAATACCAATTAATTAAAGGAGATATGGCTGTTGAAGTAAAGCTTAACTTTCTGCTTTTGTGGCTAGCGAGCGTTAGCACCTCTAAACCAGGAAAGTAACAGAAGACTTCAGCCACGTGACAGATGCACGCTCCTTTCTCTCCTCTCCTCCTCACAAAATGGTTTTACCATTCAAAAAAACCAAAATCATAACGCAGCCACTTACTTGGGTTGGAACGAGTACTGGAGGATACGCTAGCTTGTGATGTCTGTACATCCAGAACGAAAAGAGGACAATCACTGCAATTCCCATTATAGGCACCAATGAATAAAGCAAGGTATTGAACAGAGGTGGCTTCGGTGTAACGGGATTAGAAGTTGCTGAAGGGAAAAAAAAAAAGGACACAGCTTTTAAGAAACAAAAATCATCCAGTGTTTGAAGTGTCTAGCATCCCAATTTCTTAAAAATTCTTGCCATCAACACAACAGGCTAACAATACTTGATTACGTAGCGTACTCCAACAGAAACAGACAGGTATTTAAAAGGCAGCCTTTTGGAAAGCACAGAAATAACTCAGCTTCCCAGATTTACACATCAGCCCATCCAACTTCTTTGTCCTTCTAAGTTCTGCCTATCTACAGAGTGCAAAAGGTGTCTGTTTTTTAAAAAAAGATTGCAAGAATGCCATCACCTAGTGAATGAAAAAAAGAATCAATACGGAGGTTTAGTCTCTGGAATGTATACAATGAGATGTCATTAATAGGTAGAACCGGCCAGAAATAATCTGCACTGTTGATTTGCTGAAAGTATGAGTTCTCCAGCTGAAGACACTCTCGTAGGACCTCCAGAAAGGCCCCAGAGAAGCCCTGCTTCTGAGGCAGCTGGTGCAGGGGCTGCCACAGACCCCCGAGGCAAAAGAGGTTTCACGAGAGTGAAGAAGAATGTCGATTATTGCCTTGGCAGTATCACTGACAAAAATGACAAGAATATCTCTTGGGTCAACAAAGGCTATTTTGATCTCATGGAAAACGTTATTTAATTTCATAAATAACTTCCTCTGGCTTATTTGGTACACAAGACATTAGCTGTTTTCAGTTCAGTTATTAACATTATTCAGTTTTCCAACAAAGATTAGATTCTTGACTGGGAGAAGATACGCAAGAATAATCAAATAATTTTTTAGTTATTGTTTTTTAAAACAATTATTTAAGTCTGGCGATCCGATTTTCTTCGTGACCTGGGAGGAAATTCTTTCCCCCTTTTTAAAGGTCACTGTGTCAATTTACAGAGAAATTCAAAGGTCCAATTAGTTTAAAGAAACAGCAAGAGCATCGTTTCAAGAAGAAGAGCATTCATAGGCTGCTACATGCGTATCGGGATGATAAGGCTTTTAGCCCAATGATTTACAGACACTTACAGAAGCTTAACTATACAATTAAGGGAAGATTTGACAGTAACTTCTGTATCTTAAAACAGCCAATTATTTCAGATTATCCTCCCTTCTCACCCTCAGAAAAGAGCTGAAGTACCTTTTATCAATTGAAATTACTTCTAGTATAGGGACCTTTCAAAACTGAAGAAACGAACTGGCAATTTTCTAAGCTCTTTATGCGAATGCACACAGCGCTCTATCATCCAGGAATCAGAAACCTCCTGGCAGGAAAAACTGACCACAACATTTTGAAAAGTCTTATCTCCTGAACATACACAATATTAAATATTTTTGAACTCTGCTAAGCAGTTCCTTCATAAATGCGTTAGTCTAACTTACGTTGCGTGACCTCCATTTCTGGAAAATAGAAAAAGCGTTCATTACACATGTTGCCTTCACAGCAACAGAAAAACACTTCAGGGCTGTCTTTCTTCTCTATGCAGTCATTCCTATAAAAGATAATAATAAACTTATTAACCTTAAGTTGGGCTTTTTTTTTGTTCAAGAGAAAACATACGCTTATATTTAAAACTTAATGTGAACTTTATTAAATCATCCAGGATCACATCCTACCCAAATAAGAGTTAAATTTGAAGAAAGAAATTAAAACTGTCATTTTATATTGCAATGAAATATCCAAACTGAAACAGCACAGACAAAGTTAAAGAAAACCACCAACAGAAGACTGCAGAACGGTTCACGATCCAGATTTAAACAGGACAAACAGATGATCAAACAGCTAGTGTTTAACTGTAAACCCACAGTACGGGGTTGCATGGGTTGGACATAAGTGAGGAGAACGTTTAAATTTTATATTGTTTTAAGAAAAAAAGAGATGAAATTTCTACAATTTCCCCTGCCTACATTATGTTCAGGGACGGGGCTTATTTCACTTCAGGGCTTGTTCAATGAATTAACTGCAGGAAAGGAGTTCTATTAACAAATAAGCTGAAACTACTCAAGTCAGGAAAGAAAAATAGGCATCGTGCGGGAGACAACTTGACAGCAGACAGAAGAATTGGAAAACCCTGCAGAAATAGTTGAGGCTTTTAAATACAGCTGAAGATTGCCAAGGAAGTTTTGGGATGATCTTCAAAAGTTAGGGTTATTTTATAGACCCAGCTATTAAAATTACACTGTACTCTAACTTCCATAAAACATTTATTCTTTGATGGTCTTAATCTGCTGTTGTTTGGAGTTCATCATACTGTAACTCCCTGTTTAGTAAACCACTCTTCACTCCCACAGATAAGATTTTGTTTAATGGATATTTTAGACAAACAAGGCAGCCTGCATTCTTATGACAAGCTACAGTTAATGAGGTCTAAGAGCCAGACAGATTTTTATCCAGTTTTCAACTATTTCCTTACCGTCCTTCCTGCATTTTATTTCTTCTTTCAATTTCTTTTCTTTGCTCAAGGGAGAATTTCATATTTTTTTTAGCCCCTTCAAAGATACATGTGGAACCAGTGGGATAAAAATGCTATAGAACCTAATTTTATTCGCAAATTGAAACGTTCTGTCCTGACAGTGTAACACTTAGCAAAAATAAACTCAGTTCTGAAATTGTAAATACCCCCACTTCTTCTGCAAGGCTACACCTAAGAATGGATAAAAAAGGAAAAAAAAAGTACTTTCCCATCCTGAGCAACTTACAGTTACTAGATACAAGTAGCAACAAATAAGATTTCTTTAAAATTGTCCATCGCTTTCCAGCATAGATGAATTTCAATCATGCTGTGCAAGCGAGCTTGCAGATGCTTTGCTACTTCTGAGAAAGAGATAAATCAGAACTACTGTTCAACTTCGCTTTAAGCTGTCATTAAAGGAGAAAACATCTTACTATGTGGGGAAACCTAATTTGGTAGAAATGATTATAATGATTTCTTCTACTCATTCAACACTTAAGAAACACAAAAGGAAAAATTTCTAAAATATTGCAAAAAAAGTATTTCTAAATAAATTTTAATGAAGATCTATTATGCATTTATTTTCTTAATTCTTTCCCTTTCCAAACAATAACTGTTTTGGTCAAATAAAGCTTAGTACAGTGCTTCAAAGAACTATAATACCATTTCTTAAGAGAGTCATGACCTTTATTCAGCCAATATCTAACCAACCCCAAGTCCTGCTGTTACTGCTCACGGGTACATGCTAGACCATCTGTTATAAAAAAAAAAGACTAGAATTTTAGAATATTCGATGTCTCTTAGAGCTGCCACTGAGGTGAGCTTTTTAATATATCTGCAAAATACCTCCATGTTTAAGCAAAGAGCAGGTGCAAAGTGTTGACTCCTACTCCAAAGACTTTGGAAAAGTGAACTATAGAATTTTGCATTCTGGTTTCAGTAACTGTATTTGCATAGTTTGGCAATAACATGCCATTAGAAAATCTATTATTAATGGCCTAAAAAAGAGGAAATTAAACACCTGTTTTCTTAATATATAGTAAGCAAATAAGCAAAGGTAAAACGTGCTATTCTGCAAACAAGACAAAGTACTTAGATGAAGTTGGGTCCCTAAATACAGGTAAGTAAACAAGAAAAAAAAAAGCATGTGCGTATGCGTGTGTGCATCTAAAAACAAAACTAATATTCACAAAGTACTGTATGATCATTTGTCTCAAGCACTTTTTGCAGAGGGGAGGATGTATAAATTATGGACAAGCAAAATAGTTTAAAATCACAAATAAATTTAGAATTTATAGGAAAACTCACTTACCTGTCATAGCAATTGATGTCATCTAGCCAGCAACCTTGCTTCACAATTTCAATTGATCCAGAAATATTCTTCCATGTAGCAAAACAGTGTCGTCTTTTATCTTTATCACCATAACAAGGTTCAATACCACTGCGATTTGTTTTATCTTTTTCCCAATTAGCGTTGTAGTAGATACACTCCTGTGTTTCTGATCTGCCAAGTATGGCACCTTTAGGAATGAAAAGTAAATCAAAATTAAACGGTATTCTGAAGGATGAGAAACACGAACAGTCAAAACCAGAACATACTAAAATATCATACACCACTTGCATCAACATGCCCTATCCCCTCTTTTTTTTTTTTAAATAAAGAAAGAACATATTTAAAGTTCACAAGCATTCCAAGTAAGTTTGAAACATAAAAAAAAGATCTCAAACAGTGGCTTGGATTATTTCTTCAAATCTAGAGAAGTAAGTTAAGAATGATTTATGGCAATACTTTTCCCTGAATAGCAGTAACAGAGAAAATTTAAAATACTGAACAGTAAAGATTTAGTTATAATATTAGCCAAGCAAGAAGTTTTAGCTAGTAGGCCTCACTAGAAGGCATTTTTGTCTCTTATCTTGTTACACGTGCCAAAAAGCAGTTAGTACGTCTCAGAAACCTAAACTCAACTAATAAATTCAGTTTAAACCAACAACTTTTCCCCTAGCTTTCATCTGCGACACAGCTTCTTAATAAAAAGCACTGAAGTGTAAGACACGCTACGCTAAAATAGTTATCTTCTATGTCGTTCTGATTTGCCAAGCGAGCAACTGGAATTGAGACCAATAGGTGTGAGGCAACGGTCCCACATCTCCAAGGACAGCGCTGGTTTTTGCTGCGTGGTCCCACCCAGTCAATCGGGGACAACACAAAAGACATTGGGTCTTTGCCGTAGCTCAATAACCAAGTGCTTCCAAATCTCGGGAGGCCCAGGGCCGCCTCTCCCCTTCCCACAGCGGGTGCCCAACGGCCGCAGCGGGGTCAACCACGGTGGCTGCCGTGCAGGTTTCAGGCAATAAAACCCAAGCGGTGCTTGGAGGCCAAAGCACTGACGCGGTCTCTACTAAACACGCTGGTGAACCAGGACAGACTGGCAGAGCAGCTAACCTACCCTGAGATTTTTATTTTTTGCCATCCCAGTATTATTAAAATAAAACTTTCTGAACTTTTTCAATTTAAATTTGTCTTTTAAATTCCAAATGTAATTGATTAATCGATGCCTACTGACAACCTACAGCAAACCCCAGCAAATATTAATAGACTGAGGCACCCCAACGTGGAGCTAACGTCATAGTTTTAATGTGATATAAAGCACCAACCTGGTTTCTGCAAAGGTAAAGGGTTGTTAGGATGCAAAACTACTAACAAAAATACTGGAAGGGAGGAATAACTGGCTTCTACTTCTGTTTTTATCTTGTCAGATACTGCCAAGAGAGTGTCATCAGTCTTCATGCAAGCTTCATCATTTAACATGTATTAAAAAAAGATGGAGAAACAGAGAGATGGAAGAGCTAGAGAGTCAGAGGACTCACTTCAAAAGTGAGGAAGGGTCAGGAGGATGACAAAGCCCGTTTAATTCGCGTGTGCACCCATTGGATATTTTCAAGAGCGACAGGTACATTAGACATCACCCTGAAGATCAGATTTAAACAAAAAAGGTCTTCCATAGCAGGGAGTTTCGTACATATTTATTTGTATCACTCATTACCTCATTATTCACATATATTCACAGTAATTTTGATACACTAGCTACTGCCATACCCACACTTCCCATTCTCCTACAGGAGGGTGTAACGAGCAGAGCAGCTACAACCCTGACTTCTTTTGTGGGATGAAATCTTTCTCACTCAGGCACTCTACCCAACAACTGACAGGAAGGTAATTTTTCTCAGTAAACAGACCCGACCATACAGGGACCCAAAAAAGTTGCACCGCTCAGGGTGACGGAGATTATTTCGAACTGAAAATTGCTGCAGCACTCCTGAAGCGCAGCACTGGACGTCAGAGTGGAGCACGGCACTGACCATACTGGGCATCCCACATGACCACCTTCAGAAACTTTTGACTTTGACGCATTCCCAAAATAGGCAGAGGATGGCTGCTTACGCTTTTTGGGAAAGAGCCTGGATGTTCAATGGGAGAAATGCACTAGCCAGCTGGTAACACTGCGAGATGCAGCATGTTAACTATTATATTCTTTGTGCTGCGATGGCCTGACCTTTACAACTCCCAGCTATGGCAAGAAACAGATGAGGCAACAGATTGAACAATTTGGTTCTGTCAGTGCAATAAAGCAGAAGTCCTGGATTTCTCTCGTACGTGCCATTCCTTTTCTTCTGCTGCCAAGCCTAGCTCTGAAGGACCATAGACAAGCAGAATTTGATAAAATTCAGAAACCACAGTAAAACTAACTTTGCACAAACGTTTTCTTTACACATCTTCTCTATAGTCAAGGTTTCTTATCCATTAATGCTTTGAATCAGTTCAACCTACCCAACCAGCCAGCAATCACACTGTTCGGTTAGTCACTTTGACTGGAGCATCTAACCATAAAACCTTCTCTAGGGGCCGAGCGGACGTTTGCAAGAGGTCTGGTTAGACTAAACTGATGTATGGAGGTACCAGGACAATCCTGGCTTAACCTTCTGAAGCAGAAAAGCAGGAACATGGTGGAATAAAGGGAAGAAGCGAAGGGGAACCACACAAAGAAGGCAGCCCTGAGCCCACCGCACAAAGAAGGCATCTGCTTTCAACCAGCCCTGCCACCCCCTCCGCAGGAGTCACGCTCTTAGAGAAGGGCAGCTGGCATTTACAACAAAAGCAAAATTATTTGGGTCCCAGTTTTGGCGTATTATGTCCATAACAAAACTCCTACACCCATTTTGAGTGCTGACAAGTTGTTTTCATAGGAAATTGTCAGGTCTTCGGGATATCTATTACTCCATCTCAAGAGGCCAAATGCTGCTGTTGAAAGAAGCCATGAGCAAAGCACCGGGAGTATCCTACGGACTGAACATAAAGTCTGACAGCTTCTGAGAGGAAAACACATTGAAAAATGCAAAGAATATTCAAGTATATAATAGAGTTTAGTTTTGGCATGTTAAGACAGATCACATTTAATATATGCTGTTATCATATTGCAGTGAGTGTGCTGCTGTATCACTATACATTTGTGTTCATCAACAACAGCTGCAGTAAGAAAAGAAACCCAACATTTGCTACTGAACTTCTGAACTGCTGTTAATACAGGATACACTGTAATTGTTAGCAGCACAGTAAGCAATTCTATTAGTGTACATGTGCAGTCTGGAAAACCTCACCTCAGTAGGAATCTGAAGGACTAGCTGCCATTTTTTCAAGAAGAAAACTTCTTGAAAAAAGAAAGCTTCTTGAAAAAAGAAGAAAGCTACAAGAATGCCTGAAAAAAAAAAATTCTAGCCAGTTTTTTTTTTAACTAAAGAAACAGGCAAACAATGAAATCTATGCATAGCTAATAAGAAGGACTATAGTGACATAGCCCTAATTTAGAAAGGGATTACTGGCAAAAGACACTGGGTGAAATATGAATTCTCTATTACATATAGCACTACATTACACCCAGAGGAGAAGAGAGAGATATAAACTTCTGGGAGTTTATCATCTAGCTAGTAAACCTGAAACTAAGCAACACAACCCTACTGGTCTGTAATGCAGTAATGGTTTAGTGACATTTTTAATAAAAAGTCTGAAACGTGGTCATTTTCTGAGAAGACTTCAAGACAGACACATACCCTGCCATGTCCTACTCCCATCCCCACATACTGGTTTTGCAGCGGACTTGGTGGGAGACACCGTGTGAAGACACAAAGGCTTCCAGGCAAAGGGAAGATGAATCTGTGGTTCCTTGCTGGTTTATGAAATGTAGCAAAGTTTTTAAGCTGAAGTCATGAAAACTGGTGAAAAGGCTACAAAGATTAGTTTGATGGTGCTGAGATCTAAAACATCAGTGGGGGAAAAAAAATCCCCAAGTCTTCTGAAAGCCAGTCTGTGTATGTAGATTGCTCTGACGGGTGCTCCAAACGTGCACCTAACACATCCTGAACTAGAAGGGAACTAAAATTTAAATTTCAAACTTATTTGTTATGTCTTCCAGCATTAGACAGAACTACAGACTTCTTTTCCATCCAGAATGTTTCCGAGATGTACCTACTCAAGCCTGAGGTGCAAATGGCAACACTGAAGTCTGGAAAGAGTAATCGCATCTGTATTTCACAGCTGCAAAACCAATCCAGACAAGTCCATTATGCTGTACTTGAACTTGATTCTATCATAAGCACTAATGCAGTATTGGCAAGGGTTTATATGCAGGAATACTCATGTGATAGAAAAGGACTTTTTTTTTTTCTTGTTTCCTAGAAAACTCAGCACATAAAGGATTGACAGGGTAAAGTTCAGGCTGGCAGCTACCTATCATTATTGTAGAGAGGTTACTTCAATTGTATTATGTTTGAGATTAATTTGAACTCATTCTGAGCGCTAAGATCCACAAACATATAAGGAACAGAGTAGTTTACAAGTATAACCTAGTTGAGCAGAATGGCCTGAAGCACCGCGGGGACTGGACGACGCGAGTTGCTTAGCAGAGAGGACAGCCCATTCCCTAAAAGATGTAACGCACTGTTGGAGGGGAACAAAAAAAGGACAGAAAATGCAGCATAGATAGAAATAGCATCTTGAAAAAACTTACAGTTACTGTACAGGTATCTTTTTCAAGTACTTGTCTATATATATTATTCTATTTGTTTCCACAGTGATCTCACATACACTTTCTAGACCCACAACTATAAGAACAGAATACAAATATATACTAAAAAAGCCCAGCTTTGATGTTTCTGCAAGCAGGAAGCAGGTTTTTATCATTCTGTATTTTTTCTGATAACACCCGGGGGAACGCATCTCAAAGGAAAAATAAAAGAGGTTATTTTCAACCTAATAAAGCAAACTGAGTTACAACAGAAAGGACCTATTCTGTCCTCCTTACACACACCGCTATGTCCCAAAACATATTTTACTGACATTTAGACAAGTATTAGTCCTATTATCATTGTTCTCAATACTCGCAGGTCAAACAAGGACTGTACTTCATATAAACTGAGCCAAAGTACAGTCATTAAATCCAAACACAACAGCAATTAACTCA